GGTCTACACAGATACTGTACATGGGTAGGGTGAGGTCTAGGGATCGAACCCTGGGTACTGCATCCGCTACTGCTAAAAGGTGAAAACCGTTTCAATCGTTGCGATGTCTTAGCAACACAAAACGAGGGTTGCGCTCGTTATAGGACTTAACCCAACATCTCACGACACGAGCTGACGACAGCGATGCAGCACCTGTATGAAGTCAAAAGTACATCTCTTACGAGGAGTTTCTTTCATATGTCAAGGGCTGGTAAGGTTTTGCGCGTTGTATCAAATTAAACCACATGCTCCACCGCTTGTGCAGGCCCCCGTCAATTCCTTTGAGTTTCAGCCTTGCGACCGTACTCCCCAGGTGGAGTGTTTGACGCGTTAGCTAGGTCCCTCATCGAATCGCCCCCAAAAGCCACCAGGCGTAGACCAAGGACCAACACTCGTCGTTTACGGCATGGACTACCAGGGTCATTTTGAATTCAAATAAAAAATGGACTATATCATTCTCTGAGTTTATGTTTTGATTGCAATATCAAGTCAATCTGTTATCAATAATCTCATCTCAGATCAAATGATTTTTTTTACTGGAAGCCGTAGTACCTGCCTAACTCGAAAGAGACCTGCTAACAGGAAAGCACTGGCTACTTCGCCAGTAGGGAAGGGGTCTAGGTATCTGCTTAGCCTAAGCAGGTCTTACTCTACACAGCCTGAAGGAACAACTCCCTTGGATCCCGGAGTGGATGTGACCGAAAATGAAAATGTACGGCATGGAGTTGACTGTTTACTAGGCCTTTGGATTCACGCCCGGCCAGTCGCGCCAGGCCGGGCGGCGGCCCAACATAGTTTCAAACTGGTTTACGGGCACTTTTTCCCGGCAGTGAACGGGTTCAAACTTGTCTTGATGAAGTTTACGGGCACTTTTCCAGGCCTTTGGATCACCGTATGGCAATGGATGAAGTTTACAGTAAATGTATTGATGACAAACTGTATATGCTGGATCAACTCTGCTATTCGGTCATGGCTATAGGATGATGCAAATCATATTGGTCTATGTTGGTCGATAGTTGTGTGCAGTTGACCTTCGTCTGCGGAGGATGGTAGCAGCTGTGGTCATGCCATGGTGTAATTGTTTCTTCCGTGGGTCGCCTTGGAATGACTGTGCATCAGGATGCCTTCTGGTAAGATCCTTAAATGATGAATGGGGACTTCCAGGCCTAGGCCCAAGTACCTATGGGTTTGTCGTGGATCTAGTTTGGGGAGTCATTGTCGTGCAGGTACCTTTTGCAGTGAGAACATTGAGAAAGGTGGTACGTACATGTATTCAGTTTGATTGTGTGCCTCGGACTCCTTTGTTGCCTCTGCGATGTCTGTCTTTTTCTGTTGTTTCGACTACAATTTCTTATCTTTGCCGTTTCTCTGTTGTACCTCTTACTCGTGTAGCTACCCGAAAGCCATTGAGATCTTTGAAGCTGTTGCCAGGGAGTCTATGGACAACAACCTATTGAAGTATAGTGTGAAGAATTACTTGCTGCAGGCTGGTCTCTGCCGTCTATGTCAGGCTGATCCAGTGGCGATCGACAACAGCTTAAAAAGATTTGCGGTATAGTTATCTACCTGCCCGAATTGTGCTGAGGCCTTCAGCCTCTTTTGTCCTCTTTTCCTTTTCCCCTGCTCCCAATCACGCCTCCTTAATGCTACTTCTCCCTCTTCTTCGGCTTTCGCTGATACGTTCTTGACTGTCCTGATTCTGTTCTCTCTCTCCCTCTTCCTCCCTACCATCTGCTTCTTTACTACCTGACAATTTTGTGCCCTCCTGGTCTTCTTATGGCACTTGAAATTGTGACTCCCAGTCAGCCACTCCCTATATTCTGTACAATTGGTGGTCACCTGTGATCATGACCGTCTGTCGCATGCATTCATTGGGGGAGGACACATTGCGGCTTCACTCTAGTCCAAGAAAGCGGCTCGAAGGTATACAAATTACTTTTTGGATCAAATACAGGCAATTCCTCGCACTAAAAGGAGGGGGGGCGTTGTATTGATTCAGGGTCACATGGCACAGACACAATGTGCACACACGTGCACCGGGATTTCTCACACGATGCATCACGTATCCTTCATCAATGTGCACCGCATGTATGGTGTGTACAGTTCGAGACCTGAATTGGGTACCTCCCAAGACCACCTACCACTGCGAGAGACCTGTAGGCATAGGACAGAGACTTCTCACGTAGGGGTGAGTTATCTCAGAAGCAAGGGATGATTGCGGATCTTGCATGAGCGTTCTGTGTTTGAGCTCCTATGGGCAAGCTGAATGATTTGAGGACCTCGTTGACTTCTGGTATCTATCTATTTCTTATCCTCAAATGTGTACAGTGGTGTGTAATGCATAGTGCAATTGCAATTGAAGTCCAGGTTGTCATTAACTGTGTCTTGTCTCTACAAATTTCAAGCTACTTGATGTTCTTTGTAGCGCCTTTTGTCATGGAATGCATGGGCGCATACGAGGCTTGCCCAGAAAGGTGTGTCTGCAGACTCTGCACAGAGTAATGCGCCTTGAAAGGAAAATAAGTTACGGTAGCGCACCCGTGTATTTTCTTTCAGACATTTTGTCAGCAATGTGCTCTGAACAGGCCAGATGGGTGATCTTTCATCCCACTACATGGCGAACCACTTGATGAAAGATTTTTATCGCAACTCTGTGCAACCAAGGCCCAGAGTGATCCTTGAAGTGAAAACAGGTTAAGGTGGACACTGCACACCCATGTACTTTCTTTGAGATATTTTACCAGCTATGTGCTGTGAACTGGCTGGATGGTGAGCATTCATTCCGCTACATGGCAAACTGCTTGAAGAAAGATCTGATTGTCTCTCTGCGACAGAATGGATCTGGACAGGTGAAAGGGAAAGTTGCCGAGTACACATGATGCACATCGCTGTCCACACATCCAGACATGTTGTTGCTACGAAAATCCTGTAATATTCAATGAGAAAAGGTGCGTTGGTGCTGAGGCTAGCAGGGAGTTGGTCGCACGATTTTGCCACTGTTTTTTGTGTCCTGCATTCTTAAATTTTGTGCTATTTTCCTCTGAGTCAAATGACTTCAGCAGTTCTAATCAGGTTTCTGCTGTGGCTGTTTCTTGTCCAAGCAGGAAATTGACCCGACATTCAGTGGAACTAGGGAGCACAAGTTCCTAGTGGTAAGCTGCTTTTTCACTGAGCCTGCACCAGTTTTAGGCTCCCTCCCCCCCACACCTTACCCTTTTCTCTCCTTCCTTTGTACTTTTTTTGTCTTTTAACGCTCCTTTCATGGTTGCATACCCCGACGGTCTGCGGCCCTTGACTGGTTGGATGCGGACTCCGACTGGTTGGCTGGTCGGCACCTACCGGTCAGGGGTCTCTTTTTTTGGGTCCAGAACCCCTAATAACCCCACCAACACCCCATACCCGCCCCCAATACTCCCATACACCCCACCGACACCCTCAAACTGCCCCCCAACACCCTCATAC